GAGACTCGATGCAATCAAATATGCTAACCATTAAATATTAAAAGTTCGAAACACCTCGGGCTGTAGTCCTTGTACAAATCAACCGTCATTAAGGACAGGGTGTGACGGACTGTCATGATGGTCCAAGGGAGGCCACTCTGTTTCGGTAATTAGTGATCCACCTTTTGTTTGTTTGTACCTTTTGTGCGGTTCATAATTACTATAACCCAAATTCGTTTAATACACTTGACCTAACATTTTCAGGGCTTTATTATTCCTGTTTTATTCACCATCTTCAAAAGTTCCCCTCGGAGTCATCTTCGTTACAGATAAAAGTTAGAGTGAGTGAGGTAGTTCATTTTTACGCCGCTTTTAGCAATATTCCAGCAATTCACGGTGGGGGACACCGGAAATGGACTTTACACATTGTACCCATATGGGAAATCGAACCCGGGACTTCCGCGTGACGAGCGAACACTTTAACCACTTGGCTACCCCACCTTCCTGTAAGTTAGATGCTCACGAAGTGTAGGGGCACAGTGAGATAATTATGACTATCATCTCCTGCTGCGACCAGCGCCAAAAAACGAAAGCTCCTGAAGCGGCATTCCTGGACGCTTATATTTAGCTATTCCCAGATGAATCACATCTGTGGTATAGTATTAACAGATCAGGATATTCAGCGTTTCCGTCACTGCTTCATTAGAATTGGTCTTCAGTAACCCATGTTTGTCTACCCGTAAAGATCCGGGTCAGAATTGGTCTTCAGTAATCCATGTTTGTCTACCCGTAAAGATCCGGGTCAGAATTGGTCTTCAGTAACCCATGCTTGTCTACCCGTAAAGATCCGGGTTAGAATTGGTCTTCAGTAACCCATGCTTGTCTACCCGTAAAGATCCGGGTTAGAATTGGTCTTCAGTAATCCATGCTTGTCTACCCGTAAAGATCCGGGTTGGTCTTCAGTAATTTTGTCTAGTCTTCAGTAACCCATGTTTGTCTACCCGTAAAGATCCGGGTTAGAATTGGTCTTCAGTAACCCATGTTTGTCTACCCGTAAAGATCCGGGTTAGAATTGGTCTTCAGTAACCCATGTTTGTCTACCCGTAAGGATCCGGGTTAGAATTGGTCTTCAGTAACCCATGCTTGTCTACCCGTAAAGATCCGGGTTAGAATTGGTCTTCAGTAGCCCATGCTTGTCGTACGAGGCGACTAACGAGATCGGGTGGTCAGGCTCGCTGACTTGGTTGACACATGACATCGGTTCCCAGTTACGTGGAACGATGCTCATGCTGATGATCACTGATTGTCTGGTCCAGACTCGATAACCGATAGACCGCCGCCATATAGCTGGAAAATTGCTATATGCCAACCAACCAACCATAATATACTAGGCAGCAAAAGAAACGTCAGTTTGGAATTTTCCTTCGCAGAAACGGATAACTGTAAACTCATTTAATGTTTTGATTGAATATTTTTGACAACATCTCCAACTTTACCTGAGCAAAGACATTCCTTCCCAAACTCAGAATGGAACCCAGGAAATGGTCTCAAAAACGCAACCTGATCTTGGAGATGGTACGGTGTTCTCCATGTTTTTCATGCAAATCATGCTGCACGTGCTGTTCACAAGGACCAGCCCCATAATACGCACCCCCAAACCTGGTTGGAACATTCACATTACAACGTCAGCAGGATGCTGCGACTCACGACAGCTGAGAGGAACTAGGCGCTAGGAAGACTTGAAGCTGGCCACACTGCACAAGCCGTTGTCAATCACTTCCAGGTCAACGTTCGGACCATCTACAGGCTGCAGCAACGTTTCCGAGCCACCAACACCACAAATGATCGTCCCCGTACTGGCAGACCAAGAGTGACCAAAGACGACAACACCGCCATGTTGTGCGACAGCATGTACAGAAGCCCTTCATGCAGGCATCCGAAACAGCACGCCAGACAGTGGGAACACACGGAAGACCAATCAGTACTGATACAGTACGCCGACGCCTTAACAGCGGGAACCTCCATTGCAGTAGACCTTACCGTAGACCTATCCTCACCCCTCGTCATCGGTGTGAACGTCTACAGTTTGCCCTACAACACCAAAACAGATGATACCGGCAATGGAGAACTGTTCTGTTCACAGATGAGAGTCGGTACTGCGTATCAACTGCAGATGGCCAAACGGGAATATGGCGACGACGTGGTCAGCGTTACTCAGACCAATGTGTTATAGAAAGAGACTCATGGGGAGGTGCAAGCATCATGGTATGGGGTGGAACAGGCCTGAACCAGAGAGTGAGTCCTGTGGTGTTCCGGAACCTTGGTCCAGGGAGAGGAGGCGGCATCACAGCGGTGCGCTACATCGACCAAGCTCTCAGACCAAACGTCATACCACATTCCGCACGTCATCGGAACAACGTTTTCCAGCATGACAACGCCCGGACCCATACTGCCAGAGCTACACGGGACTTCCTACAGCAGAACGGTGTCAACATTATGCAGTGGTCAGCTTTTAGTCCTGAATTAAACCCACTTGAACATCTTTGGGATGCAATTCAGAGGAGACTGAATAATGTCATACCAAGGCCGATTTATTGCGCCAGGCCTTTCTCAGAGTGTGGTTCCAGGTGCCAATGGCCTTCATCAATCGATTGGTGCACTCCATGCATAGACGCCGTGCTGCAGTTATTGCCGATCGTGGTGGTCACACTAGATACTGTCAAGAGTCTGAATGGACTGCAAACGTTCACGTAATGTCTTGAAATTGTGCTGAGTTATTTATTGATGTGTCAAGATATGGTACACACAAAAATAGGTTTTGATCTGCTTATCATGTCCATTTCTGTAATGATTTGATTATTTGATTACAGTGCCTATCTAATTTTGAATTCGTACTGACTTTTTTCTGTTCCTGCTGAGTATATATAGGGACGGATCTAGAAGGTGGTTGGGGGTTTTACACCCCCTCTTTTCCCTGAAACATATTTACCTGTGGAGCATTTCCCCATAACCTTTGGAAACCCCCAACCCCCCTTCTCCAAAATCCCGGATCCGCCTCTGATATAAGATTTTGACCACTCAGTCTGATATTGGTGCTAAACAATTTTATTTGTTTCCACAACACATGTTTGTTAGCTATTCACCAAGTCCAACGAACATGTTTGCACTAGTCTTGCATCGATAGTCGTGTACATCCTACATTGCAGACAGTAAAAACTGTTCAGATAGTGATTTGTAACTATTAGTATTGTTTACTGTATAATTACATTTAACCGAATCAAAATGTTGTTTGTTCCAACCACGGCAACGAGTGACGGACAGTAACGCACTCAACATGTATCGGCGGTTCCAGCAAAATACTGTTATATGCTGCGTTTGGTAACATTTCTGCAATATCAGAGCTCGGGACACCTGAAATGAGCTTCATATATTGTAATCGAACAATCGAATGGGCAATCGAACCCAGCGCGACGAGCGAACGCTTTAACCACTGGGCTATTTCACCGCTCTAGGAACAATTCATTTAAGCAATACACTCTTCAGAATAAGAAACGCATAGGTGATTTTGAGGATATTTGACTCATGTAGCTGCGACAAAAACAATACAAATGTACTATTTCTTTCCAAAACGTCATTTTGTGTAAGTATAACAGCTTCAGTGCCAAAATGCTGCAATTTGAACTTTCCCCTTGTTTTAGAAGCGTTTGAAGAAATATTCACCCAAAACGTCACCAAGAAAACATGCAGAGCAGAATGCACGTGTAAGTAAGCGAAAAAGCATGCGGTATTGATCACTATGAAAAGGCCAACGTTGTGTTTATATTTGTCATTCGTTTTTGCCTGGAAAAGGGGAACTCAGCATTCCACGACTGAGTGCCGCCAATCGAAACATCATCAGAGGCCGCCTTGAAGCTGGGGAGACGCAGTCTGCAGTTGCCCGACATTTCAACGTTCATCGGAGCACAATATCTCGCCTTTGGGGTCGTTTCCTGCAGACCAATTCCGCCCAAGATCGCCTAAGAAGCGGCCGTCACATCCGGGTTGCTCACTTGCGTCACAGCCGTGGAGACTGCACAAAGCATCCCTGGTTAGAGAAGAATATCCGACCAAACTGTCAGGAATCAATTGTGTGAAGTGGGGATTCTACCAAGAAGGCCATTTGTCGCCCCTGTTGTCAGAGAATTCCATCGGCGCAATCGCTTGCGGTGGCGTCGTTGAGTCCGGAACTGGAACCTTAGAAACTGGAGGCGAGTCTGGTTCAGTGGTGAATCGCGATTTCTTCGTCACCAGTGAGATGGACGATAGCGTGTTTACCGTCGAAGAAATGAACGTTTTGCCCCTAATTGCATTCTACAGATCGACAGATTCGGTGGAGACAATGTCATGGTGTGCGGTGCGATATCATGCACACAAAGATCTGATTTAGTGGTGGGTCAGGGGAACTGACAGCCAATCGGTACATCAACGAAGTCCTTGCACGTCACATACTTCCGATTATGAACCGACAGAGGGAGTTGTCCCGCATGACAACGCTACTTCACATACAGCACGCGTCACGGTCCGATACCTTGACAATTCTAACGTCAATGTCTTGCCATGGCCTTCCCGATCGTCAGATCTTAACCCGATAGAACACCTATGGGATGAACCCGATCGATGTCAACGTCAAACACGACTCAGACGCTTCCACAACTGGCCATCGTATTGCAGAAAGAGTGGGGACGAATTCCGCAAGAGCGACTTCGTAGGCTTATCCAGTCTGTGCCGGGACGGTGCCGAACAGTAACTGCTGCCAATGGTGGCCATACAAAGTACTGACTTTGACGCCATCTTGTGGACTCAAGTAAACATAAGGCTTCTGTTGTGTTGGCGGAGTCTGTGTCTTAAGACGTGTGAATATTCACCGTTTTACCATTGAAATTGCATGAAATAATTGCTCTTAAACAAACGCAATAAATTCTTCTAAAAAAATCTTCTTTTTTTTTTGAAGAGTGTACATATCTCTTGTTAGCCTATGGCTTACACCTGAAAACAAACAAATATCACAGTAGTTCGACACAGGCTATATACGTCACTTCATGTCCCGTGTCGATATACTTTCTGTAGTCACAATCTATAATTGTCCCTCCAACGTGATTGCTATTAAAGTCTGTGTTTCCTTACTTGTGTTAGTCTGTATGTGTGATAACATAATACTTTGTGTTAGTTTTGCTGCGAAGCCCGTCGTCTCTTGTCACATAATCATACAGCTTGCACTCTCTCTGACTTGAAACACCGGTGATGGTAAAGGAGAGACAGTATCGTGTTGCAATACAAAGACTACCGCACTGTCGTAAACTGGTAGTTGATGACGTCATAATGGCCGGCACACCTACATCCGGTTCAGCATTGGCCTGCTCCAGAGAGTAATATTTATGCCGCATGGTGGGTGTCTGTAAGCACATTTCGTTATCTGTAAAGATAATAAAATATTGATAATATTTAATATGCATTAATCTATGGTGAATATATATATATATATATATATATATATATATATATATATATATATATATATATATATATATATATATATATACATATATAGTTCTGTCGCAGTGGACATAACTCCAGTGTTGACTTGACGTGGACTCTGATCAACGTCATCCTACACTCGACAGGCGTGGGAACACAAATATACACATGAAACAAAAGGATCGCAATACCTATGATTTTTATCGCCCATATAGTCTGTATGTTCATACCAATATTATGTTTGCTTATATGCTTATTTTAACCCTTCGGGTGATACAATCAAAGGCAAGCATTATGCTTGTTATTGTTTGCTTGTATATATGAACAATACATTGATTTCAGAAACGAACAAAGGTGCTACGAAGTGTACCCGTTATAAATATACAAATATCATGTTTCAGTAACCTGTTCATACAGCTCGATAACTTGGAAAATGAATTGATTTCGTTGTTAATTAGCCAAAATGTGGCTCCCGCAAATGGCAACTGCTCCAAAACGGTACACGGAACGCTGGCATATTACTGATGCAAGAGATGTTGGTCAACCGACTGGCCAGTCAAGATCAGCGTTGAGGACCGTCAGCGATCAGGTCGACCACGAGTGAGAACTTCTAGGGAGGATACAGCCCTTCTCAGTATTGCAATGCCAAGTGGCCTGCCAAAACACAAAGTGGATTTCACATCGTCGGTTGTTCAACAGTACGGTCCGTATTGCCTTAAATCGACCGGGCATTGAGCCAGACGATCTGTCAGATGTCCATTGTTATCTTCAGAGCACAAAGAAGCACGACTGGCTTGGTGTCAAGGTCGACGTCACTGGAATCTGACCTAATGGAGAAGTGTCTACTGCTCGGACGAAAGTCGATTTCTTCTATTCATGACTTTGGCGTCGCAGAAACACTGCATATACACAATGCAGGCGTTTACTGATGGTGCTGGATGGCAAAATACGCCAAACAAATCCCCCAGTACAAAATCTTGACGCATTGGGACAAGCCCTCCATCATGAATCTAATGGAATACCTTAACATCAATTTCTGATACAGTCAGTGAGGAGGAGGATCAAGGATGTTTCACAAGATATTAACAGGTCGGGTTGTTGATATTTATATGATTGTGATATGATCTTGATACGGATCGCTCTTGTTAACGGAATACCTCAACATCAATTTCTGATACAGTCAGCGAGGAGGATGATCAAGTTTCTGATATTTATATGATTGTGATATGATCTTGATACGGATCGCTCTTGTTAACGGAATGCCTCAACATCAATTTCTGATAAAGTCAGTGAGGAGGATGATCAAGGATGTTTCACAAGATATTAACAGGTCGGTTGCTGATATTTATATGATTGTAAGCTACAATCTTGATACTGATCGCTCTTGTTAACGTCATACGACCATAGTTATCAGCAGGATAAAAAAAGTAGATTTTCCGTTCTTTTGCGTTTAGATTTGTCATTTAATTATCTCTCGAGGGCCAGTTTATCCAGATAGTAATTTAAATCTAGACTTGGATTTGTTCCTTTGCTAAAGTTAATTGTAACATATTGCTACTTTTATAACTACGGGGCGTTGCGGTACTTTTTTCCATGTGTATATGTTTTAAAGAAATTACTACCAGTGTCACACGGTCAAAATACCACTGAAAGGATAAATATATGCAAAAGTCATTAACAAGTAGGAACACGTTGACTACACGATTAATCTAAACAATGAGTTCGTGATTATTGATTGGATCCCCAGCAGTAATCCAGCTAAGTCACAGAACTGTGGAGACAAGATCAACCTTTATAAGGCTGGGTGGGTGCAAATCCAAAGCAAATGGGAGATGAGGTGAAATTGACTTCAAGGTAATCGACCTCACATAGTGACGTTCATACGCGCGTGTCGCTGCCTTCACTGGTTTTATATTGATGGCCTACTGAGATACCTTGTCGCAGTATGCATGGATACCCCATTAATATGATTCATGTTCTTCTTTTATCCCAATTAAGTTGCGTTCCAGGCAGGGTAGCTGTAAGTACTATCGTTTATTCTGTACTGGTATGACGTGTCCAGTGATCTACGTACGTTCCGGTCAGTGGGCAGACCGTCTAGGTGGATGTGTTTTGCGCTGGATCACCTACCATATTCTGCCAACGATTTACAATACAGGCACATGACATGAACTATAGCCATATATTAAAAACATAAAAAAAAACAATTAACAAAATCGAAACTATTAAGAAACCTCGAGAACTAATGTTTTTGTTTGGTCTATAAAATTATTCCTGATGCAAGAAATCATTAAGGTTTCTTTATTTATTTTCGGAAGTGCATGTGACTTCTTTCTTGGTGATTTTCCAAATGAGATAGCCTCCGGATTGTGAGAGACAAACCAGTTAGAATGACATCGCAGGTCAATGTGATATTTGCCTTCGCTTTGGTAACGGGATTCGATTTGCATCTACCAATCGATTGGCATTTTGGGTTTTACACTTGACCGACAATAATCACCCTGAAACGAAATAATCTCTGCATTGATTTTGTTGTAAATGTTGTCATTAATTGATGTAAACAATCAATTTGGTCTCTGTGGTTTCAGACGTTCCCAGAGTAAAAAGCCACCATTGCTAGGTAGCGAGTGAGTGAGTTTAGTTTTACGCCGCCCTCAGCAATATTCCATCTATATGGCGGTCAGTAAATAATCGAATCTGGACAAGACATTCCAGTGATCAACAGCATGAGCATCAATCTACGCAATTGAGAACCGATGACATGTGTCAACCACGTCAGCGAGCCTGACCACCCGGTCCCGTTAGTCGCCTCTTACGACAAGCATTCTAACATTAAGGACTTCGCCGTGTGCTTCCTTGCTCCGTCCAAGCTTTTTACCGACCAAGGTATCAAAGGTCCGGGCTTCGATAGTTTTTCGAAACGATCTTGTCTACGATTAATCTGAAGAATTTACGTTGAATGATATGATACCCTACGTTTAAGACAAGATACATTTGGAGAACTAACCAGGAATTCTTGTGAGGTCATTTTGTTTAACAAGACGTGAAGTCTTTTATGTCCTTTTCGTGCGCTCGAAGGGTGGATATTAATTACAAAATTGGTCAATATCAATGTCAGATTTTCAGCATAAAGCAGGTAATTTAATATCCATTGCATACCTCCATCCTGAATAAAGGTAAACAAACTTATGACAAGTGTCGAGCTGTCTTAGACCGACAACAATCCTATGATATTATGGGTTAAAACCATGCTACGACAGTGTACCTCTTCCTTACGATACATTTAAGAGTGAGTGAGTTTAGTTTTACGCCGCTTTTAGCAATATTCCAGCAATATCATGACGGGGAACACCAGAAATGGGCTTCACACATTGTGATATATTTAAGATACTTTTAGGGGTATTTCAATTATGGTTTGAGTTGGGATCAAAGCCGTCTAGGTACATCCAGTGAAGACCAGCCACTGAGTAATAGGAAGGGAATAACATCGCATTAGTGTACAATGGTTTAGATAACGAGAGTGTTGTTGGTCAGTCTATTCTAGTTGGTGTTGTAAGTCTTCCGCTTTAATGAAGATCCACGTTTTTGTATAAATCACCCATAGCTAATGTGTCAATACCCTAACTCGTTGCGGACATATATTCCGTGTTTTATACGAACCATTCCCAAAAGTCTAAACCTATCATTTTAGGAAGGCCATATACGTACCAAATAAAAGCTGGGAAGGAACGGGATCTTGACAGAATGAAATATGGTTTAACTTCATGTCTGTTCCAGTGGATATGTAGTCGTACACTGCCATGCAGGTGATGCTGCCACGGAGGACGTCCTGCGCATCCAGTGCTTGGCCGACACGAAGGCGCACTGCATCTGTTATGCTCGTGGATCCCCTGACACACGTCGACACTTGTGTAAAATACGAATCATCAATCATCAGTCTAATTTTACTAATACCACGCTCAATGATGACAAAGTGCCACATGTCTGCTGTAAGAGCCACATCCTCGTCCAGAGAGTCACAACACGAAGATGAGTCACATACTGACAGGGTCACGTTAGACGATCTGGTAGTCAGTTTCACATCTCGAATGCCAGGTTGAGTACCGGCATACTGTAAGTGTAGTATTGTTCCTGATGAAGGGATTCCTGGTTTAACAAGGACAGCGATCTGAAAATCACCCTGCAGGACCCCAAACGTCACGTTCAGGTCTAAGTACGAGGAAGAAGCACCATCAAGCATCAGAGACTGTCTGGGAGGGATGTCTGGACATCCATCAGCCAGTCTGGAACACTCGGACAGCGGAGGGTGCTGTGGTGCTACTCCACTTGTGCTGTAACCATATGTTGTGTTGTCTAGTCGCCACAGAGCCACTGGCTGGGGGACCACTGGAATACTACTTGTCGTAGTTGTAGTTGTAGGGGGTGAAGTAGTAGTAAGTGTAGTCATAGTTGTAGTTGTAGGGGGTGTAGTAGTAGTAAGTGTAGTTGTAGTCGTAGTTGTAGGGGGTGTAGTAGTAGTAAGTGTAGTTGTAGTTGTAGGGGGTGTAGTAGTAGTAAGTGTAGTTGTAGTTGTAGGGGGTGTAGTAGTACTAAAACGTGTAGCTGTAGTTGTAGGGGGTGAAGTAGTAGTAAGTGTAGCTGTAGTTGTAGGGGGTGTAGTAGTAGTAAGTGTAGTTGTAGTTGTAGTTGGAGGGGGTGTAGTAGTAGTAGTAAGTGTAGTTGTAGTTGTAGGGGGTGTAGTAGTAGTAAGTGTAGTTGTAGTTGTAGGGGGTGTAGTAGTAGTAAGCGTTGTCGTAGTTGTGATAATTGTAAAAGGAGTTGTAGTTGTAGTTGTGGTTGTGGTTGTAGAAGGTGCAGTAGCAGTTGTAGTTGTGGGGGATGTAGTCGTAGTTGTGATTGTAGGAGTTGTGGTAGCAGTTGTAGTTGTAGGGGATGTAGTAGTAGTTGTGGTTGTAGGAGTTGTAGTTGTAGTCGTAGTTGTGGTTGTAGTCGTAGTTGTGGTGGTCGTAGTCGTAGTAGTAGTCGTAGTAATAGTGTCAACATCCGTGATCTTGCTGGGTCCTAGAACAGATCAAAACAAAGCACTTTGTACAGTTATTTTGATGTGATTTAAGTAAGAAGTCTATCTAAGAAAAACATTTTCTGTATATCTACTGAGGGAAAAGAATGAGGCATCACATGAAAGCGGAAGTGTTCCTTTATTGTTTTCCCAAGTTTCTTCACAAGCTTTGTATCGCACAACTTGTGAAGAAACCTGGAAAAAGATAAAGGAACACTTTGTATCGCACTTGTGAAGAAACCTGGAAAAAGATAAAGGAACACTTGTGCTCTTATGTGATGCCTTATTTTATTCCCTCAGTATATTTGACAATGGTGTCAATGCAAAATCCCAGCAACGCATGTTACTTCCTGTTTTACTTACGAAAGGACTGCATCCATTAAATATTGTGATACAATCACATTTCCGAGCTTCTTTACGGAAAGAAAGACTTTGTTGATTTGAGAATATTATTTGTCCAGAACCTTGAGTTACAAAGCTATCTGCAAATGAAAGCCGGATCTGACGAGGGAACTTAATGGGCGATCGTAGTGTAAACACGTGATGTGACGTGTTGAGCCCGTGGCTATTGGTATACCTCCCACCCTCCCCTTGCTAGAAGACATCCTTCTTCTGTATTATTGGCAAAGGGCTTGTAATGTCTGTGTATATATGCCTATGTCAATAAATGTTAGGGGTGGACTGGATCTTGTGGGCTGCAATCATTGATACATATACAATAATCAAAATTATTACAGGGCGGCTCTTCAGACTGTTTTACCCTGCTTCTGAGCGGATAGCAATCTTTTGGCATTACTTTATTAATGCCAGATTTTCAGCAGAAATGTGATTGCTCTATTATTTGCTGCTGGCAACATCGTTGCTCATTGCTGCTGCTGGCAACTGTAGTTGCCCATTCTAACATACTCATTGGTCATAGGGTCAGCCCACAGATCAGCATCACCTCTGACCTTGAGCCCAATATTCTCTTGTGTTTATTTTAATGCCTTCCTTCGTAGGTGCATGTCTTCTGTCCAAAAGATGTGTTGCAATAAACCGTTGTTTACTTATGTCGTGAGTTGTGTTTTGAAAACAATGCTCATTGTGCTGAAACAGCCTAGTTTTCAACGTTGTGTTATTCAACGTGTTCTACACTGTACCTGTTGACAACAGTACAGTGCGTGCTATCGGAAAGGAGTGAGTGAGTGAGTGAGTGAGTGAGTGAGTGAGTGGGTGGGTGGGTGGGAGTGAGTGGAGTGGAGTGGAGTGAGTGAGTGAGTGAGTGGGAGGGTGGGTGGGTGAGGTGAGTGAGTGAGTGAGTGAGTGAGTGAGTGAGTGAGTGAGTGAGTGAAACTTCACCAGTTCCAGTTTCACGTGCACTAAACCTCCATTATGTTGCTACAGATTATCTCTCAATTTGTTAAATGTGAAACGACATACCTAATATAAGTCATCATCGGACGGCATCATGTCAATGGCTCAAATCGTCCTTACAACCCGCTACCAATAATGGAATAAACAATGGAATAACATGAAGATGTTTAGATGTTTAGGACCTGATCCGGGTTAGAATAGGTTCTCATTAACCTGTACTGGCCATAAGTATCCATGGACCGGATGGTCAGTGAGACGGTTGGTAGCGTGTCACAGTACCACAACGGCGTGGTGTTCTCACAATATCAATCACTTGATTGTCTGGCCCAACCTCGATCAATTCAGAGGTCCTAGTAATATAGATCGTTTCTCACGATATCAATCACTTGATTTTCTGGTCCAGACTCGATCAATTCCCAGGCTGCCGTCATATAGATTGTTTCTCAATATATCAATCACTTGATTGCTTGGCCCACGTTCGATGAATATTGATGAGCATAAAAAAAAGACAAAAATACGGACAAAGCCAAAGAGCTATTCGAGTGATTACATATGTCGATTGCACCTTGTTTTATAACTCAGGACGACCTCAGAGTGAACACAAGTCAATATTGATGGTACGTGTGTCCTCCAAACGCTGCACCTTGTGACACAAACACGCATCAGTTGTACCACTCCATCTTGAAATGAGCGGCTTCTTTATCGAGCGACCGTGCCATGCCTGTCACAAGCATCTAACGCTGAATGAATTATGACACGACATAAGGCAGTTTCCTTAACTAAACATTTCCACTTCAATTCATTCAATCGATAATTGAGATTATTCGCTTTCGGTTCAGCTATTGTCGAAACCGAATCGATTGTAGACAGACAAATACTATGATGAATAGCAACTGCTGTTTTAAACGTTCTCAATGACATGTAAATAAGACACAAGCAAGGACACGACAAGGCAGACAATACGTTGGTTAAATAATAATAAAATAATAAAATGCAGATTTCTTCATGCGCCTTTTCCACGTCAGCAGATATGCTCAAGGCGCAACAATGACAGATTCAAAGAGTCTCCCACATTTATACAGCAATATGTACACGTCCAAAATAGAGTTCCTAATAATACATTGAAAACAGGTATGTTTTGAGTCCTGACTTGAATGTGGCAATACTATCAGAAACTTTCAGATTGTATGGGAGTGAATTCCACAAGGTTGGGGCTGCATATGAAAAAGTCCGGTTTCCAAAAGTTTAAGCTTGAAGTTTGGCACGAACAGAAACTCCTGATTGGATGATCGAAAGTAAACCTTGAAAGTAAACCAGTTTCAAAGCAAAATTGTTCAGTAAGTTCTAAGACCACCAGCATCTATTTGCATGTCTCATCCCCATCACCAGCCAGAATGACCAACAACCAGAAATGTTGTTTGAAGGCGTCTTAGATATGAGTGTCTAAGTTTTGGGAGGTTACCAAATGAAAACAAAACAAAACATTTGTTTCACAATTTTCACAATTGGTTTCACTTATGTTATGAAATTGTAAAAGTTAAATCGCTTTGTAATAGTCTCTAAATTTATGGAGCACGTTGAATCGCGTTGCTTTGGCAACAGTATAAACTAAGCGATCAAGCTGGCCTGGGTTTATGATTGTTCAAGGATATGGGTATTTAGATAAAACGCTAGGGCGGGTATCAGCGACAGGGGAAATTGAGATAACGTTCTATTATTCATGCGGAATGAAGGGGCGGGCGGGAGATGGGAAACACAAACAATACACGGGCAGGGAAACCGTTTTGCTCCCGTGTAGTACGTCAGATTGTTAGTTTGGTTCTAGGCCCCTATTTCCGAGGCAGCTAGAGGAGAGCATGGCGTGATGCCGGGCTAATATACTGATACACACGGGAATGGTTAACTTAGAAAAGATATGGTGATCTGGGATGCGATCGGAAAACGAGAATATCCTAGCACGCCAAAGGTAGGCAACTTTGTCAAGTATGCTTACGTTAACAGTTTTGTAAGATTCAAGATTCCCCCGAATGATAATGTTTTGAATTATATTTGCTAGAACAGGCAGAGTGGGCACCTTTATGCGTGAAAATCGCAAACGATGTGTTCATTATGTGGGGGTTTGCACATTTCATTTTCACCCGAGTTTCAATGGTCATTTAATTAACGTTCAGGATAAAAGGGGGGAGGGGGTGCGCACACCTGCAAAACCCACCACCGACATCACCCCACTCTGGCTCCGCCTACGCTCGACTAGTATGTCATTATACAGTTAGTGAGACTTAGACCTTTGGAATGACTTAGACCTTTATGACTAGTTGATAACATATGTCTTATTATGAAACAAACAAAAATAACAAAATAATAGGAAATCAATTTTTGAAATGGTCACTCAGAGCCAGAGCCTCTACTGATAAGTCCAAATAAAGAATTGATCCATTTGAGGCCACTTAATTCCTCCAAACTGTCACATATGAAACCATTCAAACCCACAAATCGTAACGCATTTGGAAGAATATTTGGCACTTTTGGAGCCACTTACAAAGATACTCCCACTTCTAAAATGTTACATGAAACCAACAGAAATAAAAGTATATTTGGCACTTTTGGCAGATTTTGTTTGCTTTGGAAATCAAGGGCAGATAATGCAAAGGGAGCTAACTCTGGATTACCAATATATTGCAGAATCTGAACATATCGCGATAATCATATCGCGAGATATACTGTACCGGTATATACCGGTTTACCGGTAATATTGCACAGCCTTAGTTGTACGTATTTTAGGAATATCTAAGGCTGCGGATCAGATTCGCATCTAAATCCTTGCGCGGTCAGAACATAAAACAATCTTGTCTTAATGCCGATATTCAGCGACAAACAACGCCTCTCTCAGATCTATACTCCCCGCAATACAGCTGATTTGTTGCCGATGCCACATTATATCCTAATTTACCTACTCTGGATCTTCCACATAGAACAATATACCATGCGTTTAATACTTAAAACAACAACCAAAATATATATGATTATTCGAAAATTGGAAAATTCTATAGAATCTGTGGCTTACCTGAGGATGAGGTAAGTCCATTGCATTTACTGTACGCCTCCGATTTTGCAGTATCTGGAAAAAGGTCGTCATAGAACACAACACACGTTATTTTCCCCGTGAAGAAGTTACCGCTGTCAATATTCTTCCCCAGCCATAGTTCTCCTGGGGTGCCAAGATATTCAACTGTGTCTTTTGGAGCTGCATTGTGGGTACTGGAGCTACCGTCAAGGTCAAGATGAATCGTCCCACTGTCCATATCCCTCTTGTACACAACACTGTGCCACGCATCCAAAGTGATGCTTGTAGGGTGAGTGAAAGTCCAGTCGTTACTGTTATAAAGCGTTTTAAATTTAACTTGACCACTGTCGATGCTGATGACAATCTCGTCAATCCCATCCGTTCCCCCTGAAGTGTATCTGTAATGGACGAGTGTCCCCGACGTTGTTGTCGGATACACAAGCATGAATATCGAGAACTTTTTGAACTGGTCCGCATTGTTCATCAAGACCTTAACGTAGTCATCGGTTCCATCAAAACTGAAGGCCTTGTAAGTAAGAGAGGGGTGACCGGATCCTACCATTATCGGATCAGTCAGTTTAGGGTGTACAGCATCTGCGTTTGACTCCACTTCATAGGCCCCGGCCTTATCCCCGAGTTGCCAGGCCCGCTTGGGGCTAGTAAAGCACAGGGCGCTGTGAAACTGGAGCACTGCAACATACAGAAATGCGAGGTCAATTAACAGTGTGATGTAACTATTCGTGTATCATTCAAGTTCACTAATTCCTTCGTGTCAAGACAGTGTGAAGACCTCTAGCGTAACAGCCTGTTGTAAACATGATTAACAAGTTTGCAATAACGTAAAGAATCCTTTAGTATATTATTATGTCAACATTGCATATATATATATATATATATATATATATATATATATATATATATAACTAATTAACAATACGGTCTATACATAAACGTATTGCTGTGTCTAAGAAAGTATAATTATTTACATAATTATTTCAACCTTTTTGTTTCCAGAAAACGTTATTTGGTCTTAACATTCTGAAAACATATACCTAATGAATAGAAGTGTTATTGAGCCTGACATATGACCATATTTCTTAGCATAATTAAAAGGTCACGTGGCCTTTCTCAGCCAATCAGTACACGGACCAGATGGCTTTCATTTCACTAACATGACATAGTGAGTATAAATAAACTTCTATAACAACATACTTTTGGTCAATACTAAAACTGCTTGACGAAAACTTTGAACAGACAACGGAACTCGCCTCCATGGCTTGATAGCACAGCTTACCCTCATCTCACGTTATCCAAACCAAGGATCTGAAGCTGTTCAATCTTGTCAACAACCATGGCGTCAGTCTATTAGAGACTGAAAATTTCGGCGAATGTGCAATTTCCCTTTGCCGGAGTGGGTAAGCTGCTTGGGTAGGGGCAGCCCACAAAGAAAATGCAAAGAGGGATTTCTTTGAATCTGCCCTGCTTCATCTTAATCCTGGTAAAGTAACTGGGGGACAGAAACTAACACCGAGCACTGTCTCTGACACCTCCAAGCCAGCAATGGGCTGACTTTTTGTTGCGAGGGGGGATAACTCTCCTTTTGAAATGATGTAAGGGACGGTCGAACTTCCCGCTTCCCGTCTGGTTTCAGACTCAATGTGCGTTGCGACAATCTGCTACATGTAGAGACAGAGCCCAGCTTACGCGTTGCCCTGCTGCACCCACAGTGGCTTGTGACGCTAAAAACTGCCATCAAGGTATATACTGTTACTGACGGGTCTCAGTACTATATAAAAGGAAAGGGATGTAACGAGGTCAACACACCAGGTTCGTTTCAGGGCAAATTCAACAATACTCACTGTATTTATCCCATTTAAAGTATGCACACAATAGATTTACCTACAAAATGAGACAGTATACACAAACGACATGCACCAAAACATGTTGAACTAATGGCACCTGCCAGCACGCTAGTCGCCATACTTTTGGGGACACTTACATCTCACTGTCATAATGAGTTTACGTACTTTATTCATCGCAAACAGAATTGCGTCGTACCCGTTCGCCATTGACGACCTTGGCCTTAACCTGCCCCGCACTTAAAAGAGCAAGGGAGCTCATTGGCTAAAAATAAATTATGTCCCATCAAATCGCTGACTCTTTTCAATTCGGGGTCAGTGATAGTATATACCTTGATGGCAGTTTTTAGCGTTACAAGCCCCTGTGGCTGCACCTTCATTGAAAAAACGATCCTTTACGCCGAAAAACCTTTAACTGACACATGTTTTGCGGTGATTTTAGTATAGAAAGGCATCATTTGTTTAATTTCCATGTGCAATACGATGGGTGGGGGTGGGGTGTGTGTGTGTTGGGGGTGAACGTCACGGAAAATCGGTATATTGTCACGGCATTTCCTACGACAGAACACGATACAGTGTAAGTCTCGGGTGCCATAGCATCTATGAAGTAATAAAATAATGTTATTTCCACAGGCAATTCAACTCTTACCGCATTTAATTTTTTTCAAATAGTTCGCATACTTTCACCGACCTCAATGTAATACAATCGGAGACACACCTCCAACCAACGGGTTTCCCCTGAAAGGCCTTTATCGCCAATTCATAATTATTACACATCCCTGTAACAGTTACTTATAAATATTTAATTACGTTTTGATCAGCAGTTCCTCACACATCTGATTTCATTTTGTTTTTAAATTCTGACACTATATTTTTAATGTATAGTCAATGTAATATACACCTATAGTCGGCTGCAGCAGAAATACCAGTTTGAAATAAAAGATATTTCCCTTATAAAATATGTCCATCAATCAGTATTGTGAGTCATAATATTTGTTAAGTTGTTGATCCATTTCTTACAAAAGTTTAACACCATTTAAAGCTCTTAAAATAAATAGCTATTTACAGGTATCTGTATCAACAAACAACAACAAAATCCAAGAGGGTGTGTATGATAGAATTACATCACCAAACCAGAATGCCCTAGAGCATACACAAAGACACCCTAAACAGACACGTCATCACGATCAACTGTATCATCTGCAGTCACAGTAATAACTTGAACGCATTTGACAAATATTTGGTTGTATCCAAAGTACTGAGCCGTGATCCAAAATATTCGCCGATAGTCTTGCACAAATCTGCCCGAGGAGAACACTTCAGGGAACGTCTCTTAGATACCAAGAGAAGAACAGAGGAAGAGAAACAGATGAAACAAACTAGCACATAACTAAGTGAGAAGGCAAAACCTAAACGAGAAGAGTGGAAGCAGCTCGGAAAGCCCGAGAGAGAGATCGAAAGAGAACAGAAGCGTAACAAGAAGAAGAGTAAAAAAGGGGTCCACACTTTCGATGAAAATAGAAAGGAAAGGTAAGCGAACTCGAGACACCTTCGAAGACGTTTCTGTATCAGAGATTCCCCAAACGGATGATGACGACGACGATGGCTACGAGTATGAGGATTTTGCCATTTTTACTTGAGGAAGGATTTGTGTGATGATGACGATTAGTTGGGACGCCTTATTTGTAGGTTTAAATTTTTTTGTTTAGGGTATCAGGAAATACCACACCAACAGAACTTCATCACGGTCAAGACTTAGAGGTCAGATCTGTAGTATATCTCTGCACACGTCATGGGTCATACTGCTGCCCACCAATCTCTCCACTTCAACATCAGTGTTGGAGGTAGGGTTGGGGATGAATATGGGGTGGGGTTTGATATCTAAACGCTCATTTCTACATCAGCATTCTCTAGAAATGCTAAATTCACCATCTGTGAAAACCTTCTAACCTTCTAAGGTGTGTGGGGCAGTGGGGTAGCCTAGTCGTTAATGCGTTCGCTTGTCACGCCGAAGGCCGGGGTTCGATTCCCCACATGGGTACAATTTGTGAAGCCCATTTCTGGTGTCCCCCGCCGTGATATTGCTGGAATATTGCTAAAAACGGCGTAAAACCATACTCAGTCAGTCTAAGGTGTGTTTCATGACCTGACTCATTCTGAAACTAAACTCTTACGCCTATATCGACAATTGCTGACTGAGATTCGCGGGAGTCTGAGTGTCGTAACATGGCATACCAACTCATATTTAACATTCTAACCCTGAATCCCCTCCGTACCGCTACAGTAACGCTCTTTCACCCCACCCTGTGTATTGTTAGTCGCAGTAGAGTTTACCTTTAAACTAAGCATCATGAAAATGAAGTTGCCCCTTCGAAACCAGAAACTGGTGCTTTATATACTGAACATCATTGAAAACGCACCCCTTTTTAAAGTTCAGATTATTAAAAGCACGTGTAAGGAATTGATATTTTTTGAGTGGATATACATGATGGCAGAGTGTGAATAATTATGTGTGAAATAACAACAACACAGAAAAGACGCTCATTCATTGAAATGTTCCACAGTCAGAAAGGATCAAACACACGTGGGGTAAAATCGAAAAGTCAGTATCGCGTATGACCGCCATTTGCATTGACACATGCAGTTCAACGTCTCCTCATTGAGTCAATAAGCGTCCGAATAGAGTTCTTGAGGATGGCATTCCACTTCTGCAGTAGTGCAGCCTCAAGTTCCCGGATGTTTCGCATCTGTTGTCGCCGCGAAAGACTTTGACCAATTTCGTCCCACAAGTGATCCATGGGGGATACATCTGGCGACTGTGCTGGCCAGTGAATAACCTGGATGTGTTGCTGGGACAGATACTGCATGGAAAGTCTTGTTGTGTGTGCCCGTGCGTTGTCCTGTTGAAAAGTATGGACATCTTGGTGGTGATTGAAGACAGTTACGATGTGATTCTGAAGAATCTGCTCACGGTACTGACGGGCATTAACTCTCCCTTGACAGACATGAAGACAGTCCTGTGATTGTAATTTATTCAACCCCAGACCATGACACTCCCACCACCCAAAGGTCTGTCTGAACCACACACTCATCAGCATAACGTTCACCTCGTCTACGCCAAACACGTAATCGGCCGTCAGCATTATGTAGATGAAGACGTGACTCGTCAGTGACTACCACACCATGCCATTGTCGTAACCTTTACTGAAAATGCATGCTAGCCCATTGTATACGCTCATTCTGTCAGTCAGAATTGGTCCAACGTAAGGACGTCGAGCATGGAGCCCTGTACCGTGTAGACAGCGTCGCATGGAGTCAGCGCTGATGACCCCCACGTCAACCTTGAACTAGTGCAGCAGTCCTGGCAGTCGGCAGTGTTCAATCACTGATATGGACAAGGTCAATATGGCGATCCTGATGGAGCGTCGTAACACGTTGTTGCCAAGGTCATTGAAGGTCACGGGTGCTGCCTGCCTACTGATGTCGTCTATGAAGCCTAACGATGGTGGAGTGGCCAAGTCCAAGTTGTCGAGCAATATCCCTGCTGCTGGTGCCAACCTGAATCATGCCTAGTGCACGTTCTCTTTCGTGAGGTGTTAACCTCGGCATCTCTGTCCACGTTTCACAATCGTTAGTGAAGCAATGAGAATCGTTTCTCATACACCCGCTTTTAATGTCACAGTCAGTATGATTTCAGAATGAAATTCGCGCTTTTTCCATGGCGTGGCTGTATGTTGATGCATTTTGGATTTAAGAGTCATCCTGTGGACAGGAATTTGTTTCTAAAGCATTCTTTCAACTGGACATGCCCTTCGACTTCATGTTAGTTATATTCATTGATCATTGTCATGCTGAAATCCATCTTGATGAAACTATGGACAATTTTAGGTGCGTTTTCAATGATGTTCAGTATATAATGCCGTAATGCCATGAAACAAAATGATTACAATTACACCCTCCACAATTTAACGTCAAGTCTTTGTTACTCGAAAATGTATCCGTGAGACGAGGCTGAATCGCCACATAACCGCCACATAACCGCCACATAATCGCCAAGACGTCCGGTGTGTCGATACCATATTATCGTTAAAATATGAGGGTCGACATAATGCATATTACTATCGATGAAACAACGGCAGTTCTCACACGTCTTAAAGGAAATTCCGATTAAATCCAGTTCGAGATAACGAAACCTAACTACGCCTGTAGATTAAACAATTGTCCTATGCTACAATAACTTTGTATGCTTAGTTACGAGATTTCAACGTAACGCCCACATATATAACCACCGACATAAAGGCAACATTCATGAGTCGAATGAACAATTTTGCTTCTGGATATTTAATTAACAAGCATTGTAATTCAAACTGTTAATTACTGTTTAAGCTTCAGGTTCTTCTGCAACATTACCATTGGACTCCTACTGTTTAACTGAAGCGGAACATTGGTTGTATTAACTTTCTCTCTTTTGTAATGAAATCTAAATTTTCAAAAGGAATCGTAACGTAATGTATAGCTATTGATCTATTTGCAGAGTAAAAATCCGTCAAGCGGTCTTGTATCGAGTCCGCTTTTGGCGTGCAGTGTTATTGTAAGGATACTGACAGAAATGAACCATTGAGGAAATTAGGAATCTAAAGGCATTGTTATTGGGGATTGCCTTTGAGCGTCAACAATTAGTTTCTTGGTACTGAACAGGCCCGTTCTAGGTCGTCTATCACCCAGTATTGGGATCATGCAATCCTTTGACCCACCAAAGAAATTAAACCCGAGACTTTATATATTAGTGTGGTGGTTTTTGAATGGTTTTGACGAAATTGGGAAACAGAAACGGTAAAGCAGATTGTTTTCTGGAACCTTTTATCCTAATATAGACGGGTGAATTATTATGGTAAGTGTATAAACATCCCGTTAATATTTCAATTCGAAGTATGTCTGAGATTACAGTGTATTGGTACTCTCAGAGCCTATTGACATTTACAATAGCTGGTTTTATCCAGAAACAAATGACATGATTTCGCTGGAATATTGCTACACATGGCGTTAAACTTTACTCACAAAGAAGTACAAATGCAAAGAGAATTCCAGCGAACATATGGTCGACTGTAAAATAGTGATTTGCATATGTCACAAGCTAGGCACTGATGGAGATAATTTGGAAATGTCCCCCACATGTATGCTAGACATATCTTTCCTTGAATGTCGTAATTCTAATAAAAAAAATCTTTGGAGTGCACTTTCGGAAATCATCGAAAAGAGAGAACTCGGTGGACTGTACCTTAAATGTTTTCATCTGCTGGAATACTGCTCGACGAAAGTTGAACATTTGCTCACGGAAGGCAGTCGTTACCTTTCTGATCATGCAGACTGGGAAACGTGTTTAAATTTTCAGGTCACTTGAATGTATAAGTGTCGGAGTATAAGTATCTGGGAACCTTCATTGACTCTAAGCTGAACTGGAACTCTAACACTGAAGCCCTATACAAAAAGTGTCAACAACGTCTTCATCTCATGGGTAAACTGAGATCTTTTAATGTTAACCCATCTGTGATGTCATCTTTTTATGTAGCATTTATTCAGAGTATTTTAACATTTTCCATCCATTGTTGGTACGGGTCTCTCTCAGTTCATCTCAAATCTAAAATAGACAAAATTGTTAACACTGCAAGTAAAATCGCTGGAGTCAGATTTGAATGTTTATCATCAATATATGAGCGGCAAATCGTGAATCAAGCTGTCAAAATCATATCTGACCGTACTCACTACTTAAATTCGGAATACAACCTTCTCCCTTCTGGCCGCCGATACAAAGTTCCAATTGTGAAAACTAAGAGAGCCCGTACATCCTTTTCCTTTATTCCAAGTACCATATCACTCTTAAACAAATGTGAAGATGCCTAAATCAAAGAATTTATGTAAATATATTTGGTATCTCTCTAATGTGTCAGTAGCTCTGCTGATGTAACACAAATTCCTGAAAAGGCATTAAAGTATTATTCTATTCTATTCTATTCTATCTAATATACTCTGCAAAAATAGACAACAACGCAAAGGTGTTTTTTTTACTTCATGTATTTTATGATAAATCCACAGATAATAATTTGTTCAAATTTGGCAAAAGCCGCTGTCACTGATCGCTGTCAAGAGCATCTCGTAAAGGTTCGACGGTGTTTAGACAGTACTTGGATTTTATGGTTCCTCAGAAGGTCCGTTGTGAGGTCGGCGTTGTCGTGTTGAAAAATGACGTTTGTTTGTTGCATAATGGAAAGGACACGAGGTCAAAGAATTTCATCTGTGTAACGTTATGTCCTTAAGCTGCCCTCATAACGTTTCCATGCTTGCAATGGTGCTCGCTGATATATGGAAAAATCTGGCTAGGACTGAAGCCAAGTCATCAGTCTGCAGTCGACTGATTTGAGCTTCTGTAAATCGTAGCATGTTGTCACGTTTCACTTGCTGTACAGTTAAGCTAACACACTAATGATAAATCCATCATTTTCAAAGCAATATAAATCACGTTCGTGTCATTTGGGTGTGTATGGCTCCCATGTGGTTGAGTTTAAGCGTCTCTCCGACCTTTGTGTATTTTGGGGCCGTACTTCATTCTACTCTCACAAATCCTTCCCTGTACATTTTAGATTTTCCTTTCATGCAGCGACGAACGCACGATATGCATTATTTTGCAGGTTGACTTCCAAAATTGACTTTGTTTTGCGCATGATCATCGATCACTATATCATCAGGATTAAATCATCAGGAATATGTCATCAGGAAAATATCCTCAGGAGTATATCAGCATGAATATATCATCAGGGATATATCATCAGAAATATGTCACCAGGAGTGTATCATCAGGAATATATCATAAGGAATGTCATCAGGAATATATATCCTAAGGAATATATCATCAGGAATATATCCTCAGGAATATGTCATCAGGAATATATCATCAGGAAAATACCATCGTGAATATATCCTCATGAACATGTCCTCAGAAATATCTGCTCAGGAATATATCAACAGAATATATCAGCAGGAATATATCATCAGAGATATATCATCAGGAAAATATCCTCAGGAATATATCAGCATGAACAACGTGAGGGTAACTCAGTCCAGACCATGATCACACATTCAGTGATGACCCAGGCCCATGATGACCTATTTACAAGTAGTTGAATAAGGTCATTGACCTGGTATTGTTTCAGAAAGTCAGTTATGCTTGATTCGGCTCTATCCTTTTTGGTTTTCATGTATTTCTGTAGAAAGTTAAAAAAGCATAAACATAAAGAAAACTCCAGATTTTGCACTAACATTATATACCTCTGTGAAGGATACTTTAGACCTACCCACATATACGGAAAACACAGGCCTGTAATACAACCTGACATAAACTTACTGTGACTGGCAAGGGTGTATAATTGCCTACTTGAAATGGATACCGCCTTGAACGATCTTTTTGCCATGCTGCTACCAGTCAAGAAATTGGAAAAGTGACGTACCAGAATATGTCTGGCATTTCAATTTTCCAGTAAGCCTTTGTTTTGCTTGCAAATTCGTTTCGTGTAGAAATGATAGAGCTATATTTGCATCCAGTAGAACCCTCAATACATCTGTTCGGAATATCCATGGAACGGGTAATATGTATTTCGATGCTTATTGCATCAATATCTGGGTTGTCTTACTCAGCAAACACTTCACATAAACAACAATGACGGTAATATATCCGAAAACAATCACATATACATACTTATTCATAGATCTTCATCTTTTGAAATAGTTCTGTAACTTGCATTTGTATTGCATTTTGATCTTAGTATAACACGCTTTAGATTCTTTTAATTCTTTACATAATAAGTGTTAAATGTTGAGATTAATAAAACACAAAATTGAAAAGAACTCTGAATGAACTTTCAAAGAAAATCAGATGATCACAATTGTCTTATACATCATCGTCGTGCAATCTTGAATAGAGCTGCTGTTTTGACTTCAACTGTATTTCGTAATGAACGTAATGAGATAACGAAATGATAATATGAATCTAACCTACCCGACAGCAGAACATAGACCCCAGCTTTTGACGACATTCTGAGACGGCGTGTGTTGAGGCCGACTGTGTCGCTCCCTTACACAACTGTGTTATAATCAATATACCATGTGACTAGGGTTTCAGATTTAGAGCTCTGTTGATGGACTGGTGCTGTTCACGTGTTTTCCGTACTGGACACGTCGACACCTTACCGGGGTCTTATCAATATTGTAGTTACGCACAATCTGCTTTCCCACATTCTATGGCAACGACATACATTTTCTTACGACTTACATTAACCTGTGATGTAGGCATATGCATATGCACTGCGTGGTCTTATGCTTGTATTATAATGCAATCGATAGTTCCTAAGTTTCCAAGGTCGATTTTGATATAAAGGCTGCCAGACAGGTCAGCCACCTTTCTGCCTGACTGTGCGTGACGCTCCCCCACCCCATTCCCACCTTTCGCCACAGCCACAGTGACTCGTTCCTGAAGATAATACTGCTCTACCGCCTCCACCTGAATATGGCATGTCTGAGGACCTATCGCAAACGTTCGGTGCGATGAAATGGCGTCGGGATTTTTGTTACGGATTAGAAATTACCGTGACAAACGTTTTGTGAATCCCCTTTAAGCCAACAAAATAGAACACAGACAAGTTTATCATATTCAATAATATTTTGAATAAACAAACAAGGTTGCAATGAATGACAATTCAGATTTTCAATACAATACAATACCATTGAGTCACTAATCTAAAATATTGGATCATAAATCTAAAATATTAACTAAATGTCAGCAACATTCGACACTTAATAACCGCAGAAGCTGCAAAGGTACTTGCCCATTGTCTAATAACATCAAGACTAGACTACTGCAACAGTTTGCTTCAGGGCATCAGTGGTAAACTGCTATCTAAGCTACAGGTGCTGCAAAATTCTGCTGCACGGGTCATCACAAGAACACCAAGACACGTGCACATGACACCAGTGCTCAGAGACCTCCACTGGTTGCCAGTAAAAGCTAGAATAGAGTTCAAGCTTCTCTGTATCACATATCGATGCCTCCATAACACCAGCCCTGACTACCTATCTGAACTCTTGACTCCACATACTCCAGCACGTAAACTCCGATCAAGTGACCAAAATCTCCTCCAAGTTCCTAAATATCGACTGAAGACATTTGGCTCCAGATCCTTCTCCAGCACTGCCCCTATCCTCTGGGAACTCACTTCCATCAGAGTTGAAACTGTGTCCAACTTTTGAGAAATTCAAATCAAGACTAAAGACCCATATGTTCTCCAAGTATCATAGTGACATTTAACTCCACTCAACACTCCCTGACTTTTATCTTTATACATTCCCATTGTAGCGCCTTGAGCAGGCATATCTGTCTGGATTGCGCGCATTATAAATGCACATTTATATTTATTATTATTATAGTTACCACAGTCTTGATTCTTGTCGATGTACCGATTGAAGACTGTTGACGGCTGGTGAATGTATGTAGGCGTAGGTGTCGTAACTTGCGCGGTCAATGTTAGCTGACAGACGAGCGTAAATCCAAAGTAGCCGTAGTCCCCCTCCTATATCTCAACACCCATCCCTTATATATGCACATTGTACGGTTCCAGAGAATTCCAACAGAAGCCACGCCTCCTTACGACCATTTAGATCACCCTACAACCATGTAGAAATTACTGGAATGAATCCCACAGTCTTCCACCGGAAGCAACAACGAAGAGGAGGTAACTCTAACTCCTCAGCTTACTCTCCTTACAGGTGAAATTACATAGCCCAGGTTCAAGATGTGAGTTTAAATCCACACTCAGCGTTTTGAACTTATGTCACCCAGAATAACTCAAAGTTAATTAATGCGACATTTTAATTAAAAAAAGCATCCTCATAACAATAGGTCCTGTGAATGTTACTTACGGTGCACAGTCAATTCCTGATGGTCTGTGCTGGTAGTCTTCCTGTGAACTTGAGTCTGTTAGTGAGGGTTAGAGTCACAAGTCTGTTAGTGAGGGTTAGAGTCACAAGTCTGTTAGTGTGGGTTAGAGTCACAAGCCTGTTAGTGAGGGTTAGAGTTACAAGTCTGTTTGTGAGGGTTGGAGTCACAAGTCTGTTTGTGAGGGTTATAGTCTCAAGTCCGATGCGGAGATGACGTGGTCTGATTTTAACGCCATTTTCGTGTGACGTCACTCGCGACGCCCAGACCATGAGCGACCTGCAAAGGTGCCCATCTGTTACACACGGCCCTCACAGTGTACCGTACAATGACGACCTGCTACAACCGACCGACCAGCATCAAACCTACCCATGACACGGCCACGGTGCTGATCTGTGGGTAGCGGCATACTCCCGTCACCCCGCAATTATTACTAACAATAGTATAGGGAATGGTGGTACGGGTGGTGTCTTCTGTCCTTGGGTTCCTGCCAGCAGCTAGCAGCGAGAATGATGCGGAGTTTGCCCACCGCGGGTCGAAATTGGTTGGGTGGGTAGAGGTAGACGAAATCCACTATTTCGCCGTCTTCTACGAATTGGCGATAACACAGCAAATACAGTTCCAGAAACTGCCGAGGCATCTGGTGGCGCTCGTAGAAGGTGTGTCCCGATTTCTCCAGGATTTGTTTCTCTCGGTCGGAAAGCAACACGTGGGGACACTTCTCCAGCAGGATCTCAAAGACCATGTTGGAAGTTGTCGTCATCGTCTGTGGCTCTATACCACCTCGGATTCGCGTGTTTCGGGCTTGCGATATGTGGTACTTCCTCTTCGCCTCCCGAAGGGACAAACGACCCGATCGGATCTCGACACGGGCTTCGCACGATAGCTTGGTTCCTGGCATTTTGTTGTGTTCTATACCTATGTACCTGTGTATCTCTAATTCGAGTGCACCTTCGCCTGTTGTTGTTTTTCTGGGCTGGACTCCATTTGTTTTTCCGTATACCTGTCTTGGGGTTGCATGGACTACTGGGACCGCGAAGGAAAAACAACAACAATGCAAACATAGAGTTTCTATATATACTCAAATGCAGAGAGCACCTCCTCTTTTTGGTCTTTTCCTTCTTGTTTTATCTTTGCTTTGAGGTCCGTACCGCCATTCCCTTTACTACTCTAACAATGTTGGTGTCATGTTTCTATTTTTGTTGAGGATATACTTTCGACAGTTATGCAATGCATGGTTGGGTTACCTCAGTGAATAATCAATGTAGTACACATTGTATACCTGCCGAAGATGTACGCACTGCGTGTCCGTCCTAATTGGAACACGTTAATAAGGTAAAAGGCGGTAAGTGATTACTAATATCGATTGCCGCTGAATCCTCAAGCACATTCCATCTATCCACAACACACCAATACCGAAACAGTACACAAAAATCCACGATGTATGTTTCTCACGCATATTAAGGAAAATGAAATTGCAGTTGCATTACAAAGAGCTGGTGTACCTCCTTTATTAGCGATGAGCTCGGAAGACGGAAGAGCTCAAGGTTAACGTAAACACACTCAATCAAATTACTGTATTGCAAAACTTTGCCAACTGGCTAGCTCAACATGTCAGACCATATATACGTCGTTCAAGTCTTATATGGAGAGACACACAGACACACAGGCACACAGACATACAGACAGTGTATTCAGTAAAAAGGCCATAGGCCCATAATACCGACAATGTTTGTCTGTATGAATCACTACTTTTTACGAGGGGGACAACTTACTGCTAGAACAGCCAGGTGTGCGAGTTGCTCGTGTGAAATTGAAATTTCACAACACACGCCTGTTGATTACCTGAGTGTTCTATCTGCATGTGGTCCCCACTCGTCAAAAATAGCGAAGGGTGACAACAAAATAATGATCCTTTTTTAAACAATGTTTTTATTCGGGTGTCCAAAATTATGAGACAAACCATCAGAGTTGGTCTGTCGATTTCATGTGGCTGTGCAAAATTTGGTTTTGTTGCAAATATTACAGTTTGTGTTAGTGAGCAATTCATCGGTCTCAAATGAAAACAGACTGTAGTTGGTAGATCAAGAAGACATATATTGTAGGGATACATTTTCTGTATTAGTGACGATGCGGTGCTACCCTCTGTATTAGTGACGATGCGGTGCTACCCTCATGTTTCCCTGTGGAAACAGGTAGATCAGAAACAACGTTTACGTCATCATCCCAGCTGGAAGTTCAATGCACTTTGTTTAGCACATTTATCATTAGAGAGTAACGATATTGAGCATGTGACGGTTGCAACGTGCTGAACATGTACTTGTGGGAATATTATTTCCCCAAAGCTGTCTGCTCCTCAGTCAGAGGTTATAAATTTGTGGGCCTGATACTAGCATACATAAAACGGCTAAATATGATCCACGCATACTCTTGCCTCAAGGTCAGGACATATTAGTGAATATAGTTCAGAATATGACAGTAAAGAATCGGTTGCACACTACCACACTTACATACGGGTCTTCTACCACAGCTAATTGGTGTAAAAGATGCTGCGAAATATTTTGCACTGACAGCATTCACTGGTTCAATGTCTTCTTGTCAGTCCATAGCCTGCTGCACGTCATTAGCATCAGTCATAGCGTTCACCCGACACGCCGAAGGCCCGGGTTCGATTTCCAACATGGGTACAATGTGTGATAATGTGATGTATTACTTCGGGGTACACCACAAATGGACTTCACACATTGTACCCATGTGAGGAATCGAACCCGGGTCTTCGGCGTGACGAGCCAACGCCTTCACAACTAGGCTACCCCACCACCCCATCCGTTGAAGCAGATCAGACACACTGCTTTCTTTCCCTCCTAGAGAATGCACAGCCAAATTCGATGTCTAGTTTGTTAGTTAATATGCATAGGATGAGAAAGCCACAATAACTCGGTGCGCCTAGTGGCTGCAAGAGTTGTATACACCACAGGGAGTTGAGATTGATATTACGATGTGCCGTTGAGATTGACATCCAATGATCGAGGGAAAAATACCAGCGCCTTGAGCATGCACTAGTTGCCTGGATATGTGCGCTATATAAATACCCTATAATAAAAAATAACATGGCCTTAGGTTACA